CTGCACTAATTTTACACCCGAAATACCAGTTTTTTATCGAAGTATGCCCGCGTACTGGGTCTAGTGAGACTTACATTGCCCGGGGCATAAGGGTTAATGTAAAATATATCATTATTAGGAATGTATTTTGAATTTATAGAATAGTGAGTAATAAAATCTCTCATACTTCAAAATCTCTGGTATTTTGAGCCCCCTTTCCCTCTTTAGTTTGAAATAATGAGGCTCTACAGTAATGTTGTTTTGAATCTCGCATGCGCCAATGTCGCCAGGCGTGGCAGTATCACTGTGTGTAGAGGTAGAGATGTAGTGTCACCCGCCCACCTCATTCACATATTTCCAATTTCCTGCCAAAATTCAGTCTCACACGTTCTGCCTTACTGATGACAACTAGTGCTGCTCCATGGATTATTTTTGAGCCCAACATTCAAGAAACCCATCACCATATCTGGAAAATGTCCTGTAAGAAATCCTGCTGGTATTCCAGCCAACAAACAAGTACCTGATAGAGCTTCAGCAGCAGTGAGCACTTGAGTGTAAAGAAGCTGAAAAAGTACCACCTCCAATAAAGCTGAACTTATGTAAATTCATAGATGGTAAAGCTGCCACTAAGGTGAGTGAGTGCTAAATTGGGCAGTAGTGACCCTAAAAAGACCTTTGGGACAACTCCTGTATCATATCCCCTCATTTGAGGCCAACTGCACAGGAGATAAGGAAGGGTGTTTAGTTTATCTGAAAGGATTAACAGATTAACCCAGGCTGATGTTGGGTGTCCACTTCCAATGAACTTGAGGAGCTCTTAGTAATTCACTATGCATGACCAGATTGATCCTAGAAATCCCATTTTACATCAGTTGGGACAAGGAGATCTGTGGCATGGTTAAGGGAAGACTTGCGACACAGTTTATGAATGATAAACTTGATGAACATTTTAAAAAATAATGGCGAGGAAGATGATAACTTATTTACTATTCATTATATTACCCTTTACTCAACACAGCTTCTCCTTCACTTATTAGGATACACATTTTTTCAGAGGCTAAGAGGCAAAGTTTTATTATATATACTGTACCAGTCAGCATCCAAAGCTGGAATAGATGAAGTGCCATAAGTAGTGCTTACCCTGTGTCTCATAAGCTCAATGTCAAGACTTGCAATTAAACTAATTTTACAGAAGTATGTAACTTACCCTTGTGGCTTGAATTTACAGTCATGCCAACCCAGATAGTACCTTTTCTTAATTAATCTATGAACTCCTGAAGGACTTCTCGATGCTCTACTATGAAACATACAAAAGCACATAATGCTAACAGAGTAGCAAATATTACATGCAGGCAACTCTCCCAAAAATAAGAAGCTTTTAATAAAGATGGCAGGAATGAAGTTGGTATTGAAAATCCCAGGTAACTGAAGAAAGACCAGAAAAAGTACATGCACATGTGATTGTAATAGCAAATCCCACTTACCTTTGAGTCTTCCAGGGTAACTTTTGCTTTTAATTCCCTATTTTAAGAGTGAAGGTTGTTCTACACACTGTATATTTATGTCAGCAGTCAGTGGTGAAGTTTGAATCCAAGGTTGAAAATTAACAGCCATGGACTTGATAACACACTATACACAGGTCTCCTTGGACTGACACCAAGATACAATTTTTGGGGGGCAAAATGACATTTCACACCAAAATATATAAGAAAATAAAATCAACTATACTACAGTATTCTGTCTACTAATTGTCTACTATATATGTATATTTATATAATGACTGAATCTTTTATATAATAAATTTGTTAGTATTATTAGTGCTATATCAAACTACAACATAAAGAAAAGAGGAATGGCTCAAAATTTCAACAAAGTTTAAGATTAACTCAAATAACTTGTTGCTTATACTGCCATCCACACAGTGCACGCTCATGTGTATCTTCTCTCGTTCATCAGTTGAAGATGAAGCACTTATGAAATCTTATTTTGTAGCTGAGTTTGAGTCAGGTGGCCCTCATAATACAGGCTGGATCAAGTTCTCCTTAATATTCCCATAATGTAAACCAGTCTTCTTTTAGCTATTGATTTTCTTATTACAAGGAACCACTTGGTAACAATCCCTAGAACAAGACATGAAAATAATGGCAAAAATACTTTTAAATGTTTCACATCTCTCCCTATCATGTCTAACCAATCAGCAAATATGTCATCAAGACTACTATTCACCACATAAAATTTCAAGGTCAATCAACCATCTTGAAATTCAGTTTCAGCTGACTAAACCAAGAACCTAAATGAGATGGGAAGGTATCTGAGCCACCTGAATATGAACTCTGATAGAAATGATGGAATTGAAATTGTTCACCTCCACTACTGAACAGAAGTCAGCAAGCCTAGAGGGTTAAATACCCAGCCCCAAACCCCAATTCTTGGCTGGAATACAAAAACTGAGTAAATGAGTAAATTAAAAAAAAAAATAAATAAATATGTCTTCAACCTTTATAATGAAACAGGGTCCCACATGGCTAATGGCCCACTAGGCTCAGTGCAAACACAGCACAATGTACACTAGGCCTGTTTTTTTTCCTTTTAAACAAAGCAGCAGTGTGGCAAGCACTGCACTCAAATACCCTCACTCACCCAATTGAAAAGTTAATTTTTGCTGCCTACCATAAACAGGCACTCCCTTAGTTGCAAACATCCAGTTTACAATCGTTTTTTTTTTGGGGGGGGGATGCTGAGGTGCTGACACAAACATCTCACTGTTTGTGGAAATGGTCTTCCTTCCACCCAACACAACCTTCACCCTTTAGCTGATGAACCAGGGCACCATAGCTATCATTAAAGCTTATTACCTGAGCCCCACATTCAAGCACCTGGTGGACTTTATGGACAGCCAAAATCAGTCAATCGGGGATTGTTGGAAGTCCTACAACATAATGAAGGCAATTAAAAACATCAGTGCTTTGTGGAAAAAAGTCACCAGCAGCTGCATGAGCAGTGTGTGGTGCAGGGTTTGGCCAGATGCTGGTCATGACTCCTGTGGGTTTGAGGATGTTGCACCTGCCATTACAAGTGACATTGTTCAGCTGGCCAACCAAATTGGACTTGATGAAGTTGACACAGATTCACAGACAATGTGAAGAAGCTGCTGTATTCTCATGGAGAGACCCTAACTAATGAAGAGCTAGAGTAACTATAAAAAAATGCTATGGAAGAGAAGGATGATGATGCTGAGGAAGTCCCATTAAGGAACTTGATACCATCCCTGTTGTCAGAGGCCATCGCCAATATCGATGAAGACCTTCAAATGTTTTCAAACAATGATCATGAAACGGCATGAAGCAGTGCTGCGAGGAGAAGTGTTCTGGCAGAGTGACAAGTATCTCTTACTACAAGGAACTGCTCTGAGAGAAGTAACGGCAGGCAAGGCAGTCTACCTTATATGCCTACTTCAAGAAGCCACAACCAAGCTCATCTTCCCAGCAGTAGCTCCACCCATTTTGTTTCCCACTGGTGCCATGTAGAGGTGGGAGTGACAGCAGATGGCGGTAAATACATACAAACTCCAACCAAATGCACTTGCTCAAGAGACCAATGTACAGTCAAAGTAAAACATTGTTACATCCCCCTAAGTGATGATGAAGAATTTGGATAAAATGACAGCAAAGCTTCGAGGTTTGAGTTTGAACGGGGAATTTTGCTAATGTTCTTCGTCATGGGTTTCAGACCATAAGGCACGGTAGGTGTAATGTGACTTTTTTCTTTGAATGTACCTCCATACTCCGAGACGTTTAAGAAAAAATTACTGAAAATTTTTATAAATGCATTTGAGGTAAAGTCAAAAGCAAATGCCTCTCAAAAAAGACAGGCATATGTAAATTAATTAAACACTTAAGTGCTAGCAGTAAGACCCTGGTTTTTGAAATTCCACATAAAACAAAAATGATTCATCAATTACTGCAAAGGTGAACTTTGATTTAACCAGTAAATGAACCCACTTCTGTAGACTTGTATTACTCTACTGGAAAACTTGCCTCACCCATATTTCAAGAACATTCTGAGGGAAAAAACACTTCTATTCTCCATTACTAGATCTGAAGAAGCTGTACTACTACCCCGTGGCTCATCATCTTCATTATCATGTCTGCCCCCCTTGGGAGCTATAAAACCTCTCAGATTTGCTAATCAAATTGGTTTGGTACAACACAATTAATTACACATTGCATGTTTTCATCACCCCCCCCAAGATGAACAAGCAATATACTGTACTGTGTACCAAAACATCTTCATCAGTCTGAAGACTTCTTTCACTTGCACATTCCAGTTGTTGCACCAAGTTATGATACCATTCATAAATATTTCAGAGAATAAAATGGCTGTCAAGATGGTAATTGCAATTGGTTTGTAACGAATATGATACAGAGCTCTCAGGGGGATCCTTTTCCCAGAAAAAGTTATAAGAAAATCCATATACCCCTTTTAGAGTTGCCATATCTATTGATTAGACACAGATGTGCAGAGGCATGTATAACTCAGCATTATTTTATCCATTTGTTTGGGATATAATTAAGTACATCATGTAATATGTACACCTAAACCATGAGCAATTGTGTAAGAGCCATTCCCCTTTAACATTCAGGGGCTCCACTACTGTAAGAAAATGAGAGGAGAGAGAGAGAGAGAAAGAAAACCAAATATACAAGAAGTTTTAAACCAAGCAATAACAAAATTTACATTTCCCTGCAAACATATGCAACTAAAATGAAAGACCTACAGAAGCATCGGGGGTTTCTTCTTAGAGTATTTTCAAAGGAATTTAACCCTTTATCATTACTGTAACATTTTTCAACATACACCCAAAGTAAAAACAATGGGATGAGCTTCAAGTAGTGACTCCCCCCACATTCCTAAGAAGTAACCCCCTCTTCCTACCTTTGATGGAACCCCTGACCATGCATCTAATTTGTCTGATGAGATCAAAGGCAGGAAGTGTTAGTATGGTTACGTACTTCACTTACTTTGCCTACAGTTATTTCAGGAGTTGGATAATCCAGGTCATCCATGTCAATGTCGTCGTAAAGCCCAACATTTTCACTGAAGTCGGGGTCTTGCGAGGACTCGATGTAGTATTCGACATCTTCTTTGATCATTTTAATCTGTAAAAATAAAACAAAATGAAATGTATTACAGTACTTCAAAGTACCACATAATTTTCATCAATAACCTTTACAATTTGGGTGCACATTTCACTATACAGAAATAGATTAAACAAATAACACACAGAAAGGAGATGGTCAATGAAGTTATCAATTTTATGGATATTATGTGAAATCCGTTGTTTGTCATTCATTCACCTTGGACAGTTGCTTACAGCTTCCTCATACAACTGACTACCCAGTACATGAACACATCCAGCTGCACATGACATGACTGCCACGTGTGCAGTTCTTGGCGATGAGTTCTTTTAATACCTGTATAGCATTACTCATATACTGTGTGTGTCTACCAACATCATCTCAGGGCCAATAAAAACATCCAGATCCATTTGACCCACACATAACCTCACCTCCAGACCCATATATAACCTTACCTCCAGACCCACACACAACCTCACCTCCAGACCCAGATATAACCTTAACTCCAGACCCACACATAACCTCACCTCCAGACCCACATATAACCTTAACTCCAGACCCACACATAACCTCACCTCCAGACCCACATATAACCTTAACTCCAGACCCACATATAACCTCACCTCCAGACCCACATATAACCTTACCTCCAGACCCACATACAGTATAACTTCACAAAACAGAAGACATATTACATGACTATCTCCATGCAATAAACTTCCAACTACCCAACCCACATTTAAGCTGGAGCACACTGGATAATTTAAAACCATTTGGATAATACTGTAATGCTATTAAAGTGAACTTGACTCACTCCACATAAAAAACTATGACACTTTTAATAACTATCATGAGTAGCTTCAATGCTGCAGTAAATTCAAAGCATTTATACAAATTTCCTATACTTTTATATGTACAGTACAGTCATCCCTTGTTTAACACGGTAGATGCATTCCAGAAAAGCACCAATACTCCAACAGAATGCCTGTACATACTTTGCAGCACAGAGAACTAGAAATGATAAATAGGCTCCTCCCACTTTATAAGAATTTTTTTATGAAAAATCAGTTAAAAAATTTTTTGGTCCCATGTTTTGATTTATAAACAAAAACACAAAATTTTTATTTAAAGAATAATAATTTGTAATAACATAAATATGCAAATAATATATTTTTAACTGTCAATACGCTTACTTATTCCAATAACTTATTTCTTTATTTTCTAACACCCACAATGTTATTAGTCTACAAACAAGCTGTGTCATTATTCTCCTACAGACACCATGTACTGTAACTTGCTCTTCAAACTCATGTGAAGACAAGTGGCTGCTCACTCACACAGTCACTAACCCAGTTTTAAGACAAAGTGTGGAATTTGGAAGTGAAGAAATGTTTGGAGGTGTGGAAATTGTCAGCAACATATAAGGCAAGTTGAGCTGAGTTTCTCCAATGACTTTTAAGTCACTCCTTTTATAACATTTGAATTCAGCCCACGATAAAATTGGTGCTGTGCAATTTTCAGCTCCTAACAGACTGTCCTTAATACAGTATTTTGTGGAATTTCCACTTTATTTTTCCTTACACGGCATTTAATGTGTCCTTTTAGAACTGCCAAGCACAGTTCTATTTGGTGTTTGTTTCAGGATAGTGTGAAAGCAAAATAAAATCAATAGTAAGTTTTCTATTTTTTTTGGGGTGAATTTAAGGGGGCTGCAATCCCTAACTCTTTATTTTGTATTGAATGACACCTTTTTTTTTATTGCGATTTTCCACTTCATTAACGTAATCATCTTTAAGGGGTTAATCCCTTTGAAAAATAATTACCTTCCCTTCCCCTTTTAGACTGTCATCCTCAAACGTGGGAGACATGACTGAAGGTCTACTTACGGCTGGACCATCTACGGTCTCCATCGAGTCCAACTCTGTTTGAACAAATGTAGGCAAACCCGGGTGTAGTCGAATGGCCATGTTTTAGTTGACTTGTCACAATGCCATGGAGAGAAAAATTCAAATCACCTCACTGAGAGTTCTTCTAGGGGGAAAAAAAATCTGAATCAATCTTCCATTTCCTGCTGCCACACTTAGCCAGAATTGTCCCATGGTTGGCGAGGTCAGGGTCTAATGGTAAATAAGGGAAGTGACCCCAAAGAGACACACCGTAATCCCTATAAAATACGTCTCACACACAAAAGGTATCAGGTTAAGATCTGTGATGGCTGGTTGGCTGGCTGTATAAGCACATATACTGAAGGTAACCTCGGCCATCAGAAACATGTTTAGTCCTTTAGGCCTTAGTCTACCATGGAAAGATTTTATGGTTACCTACATAATTCAGGTTTATTTAGTTGTATGAAAACCTCTAATTTGTCTTTATAATATAAAATATATTCATATTACAATGGATTAAACAAACGAATAAGAATATATTGGCCTACAGCACATGTTCTCTCTGAGAGAGTCAGGAAGTGCCTGTATCTCCAGCCATAGATACTACAGTACATAGTTTTAGCCTCTCACTTCTAGCCACAAGCTCACTGACTACTATTTATGTTTTATATTCATAATTTGGTATAATAACTATCCTTTTAATCTTGTGACTCAATTACTGTATCTTACTATTCTTACCCATTAGCATCAATTGATTAATAATTCATAATATACTGTATATAAATGAGTACACGCACACACAAGCTGAACTCCTGATGAGTTATTGTGACTTTCTAAATTCCAACTTTGTTACATGGCACAAATGCTGTTGTCACACACACACACCTGGAGCTGTGACCAACACTGGTTCAAGCATCATAACCAGTTTGCTCTGTACCATTTAATACTTGTAATCTATTTTTCATAAATCGCATCACAACTTCCCCCAAACAACATAAAATGACAAGAAAAACATGTCTTTAATGACAATTTTTAATGTACAGAATGATTATAAGCCAATAGTAAACATGCAGTATTGTAGAGTAATAATTTTATACCTGTACTTATGAGACACCAGGGCAAGGTTTGAAACAATGTGAACAGTATGGAATAATAAGCCAACTAATAAATATAATACTGAAGTAATACACTGATTTCCATTGCATGAAAATTGAAAGTGGGTCCCATAGGCATGATTGCCTGTAAGGGATAGTGTGGCTACAACACACTGTATACGAAGCCTTCGGTACACAAGGAGGCAGCATGGCTGGTACTGCTCCCAACTGCATTCACTTCCCCAAGTTGAAAATTTAGGTACCCATTTACAGCTGGGTGAACTGGGAGTGCTCGGGGATCAAACCACCGACCCACGGAACAGGAGGCGAGCGCTGTATCCACTCGACTGCTGCACTCTTTTCATTCTATAATTGGAGATAAATTCTCTTGAAAAAAAAAAGAAAAGAAAACTAAGCTTCACCCCTGATGAGTTATTTTATCCTACATCCCCGGTGTTTTTTTTTTTTAATGACACGAACGCTGCCATCAGTCAGCTGACACTACACTAACTCTCTCTCGGGTGTTGCCTACAATTTCCACATCTCATTTGTCCACTTCCAAATTCCACATTTTCTCTTATAACTTTACACCTTTCTTGTACATAATTAACATGAAATTTAATAATAGAGAATAATTTTCTTTTAATTTTTCACATATTACATTAGATTAAATGAGGAGAAATTGTCTAATGAGGCAACTGTCTGAGCGACTGTGCTGGTGGTGGAGACAAGTTTACTTGTCCCCTGTGGGCTTAAGCAGTAAGTTATATGGTGTCTGTAGGAGAATGATGACACACTGAAAGCTTATTTGTAAACTTAATAACATTGTGGGTGTTAGAGAATAATGGAATAGGTAAGCATATTGGTAATAATAATAAAAATATTTTAGCATATTTTTATTATTACCGTACCTTAGAAAAAAATAAAAAATGGTGAAATATGTTTTTGTAACCAGATATTTTCTTTGTAAACTGATTTATGGAACAATTTTTCTTTTTGTTGCACTGGAATTTCATACACTGAACTTAATGTATTGGGAGGCTGCCTGTATTCTCACTATTTCATTTTCTTTTTCTCCTACATTAAGGGTTTCACTCGTAAATCAAAGCATGAGACAAGATAAATCAAACCCCAGTAAATCAGGTTTGCCTGTATTATTATTATTATTATTATTATTATTATTATTATTATTATATTATTATTATAATAATAATAATAATAATAATAATAATAATAATAATAATAATAAAATAATTGTGGCATAAAAAAAATGTAGTCTGTTCACTTGAAGCTTGCAACTGAGGCAGCTAATTGGCTGGCAGATGGACACCTGAAGAGTCACTACAAATCAATATTTAATCTATCACATTTATATTGTAATATTTTAAGGGATAATAAACCTTCCTACGTTGACCTCTGAATATTACCACATTTGGGGAAGCAAGAATTAGCATGTGAATTGCATAGTGACAGCAACTGAAAGTAGCTCAGAGTCTTGGGCAGAAAGACTGTGACATTATGTTGGAGCCATTCAATTTGAGAGATATTAAGGTCTTCTATGTAAATAGAAGAGGATTTTTAACAAAACTTAAAATGGCTGCCATTTCAGGATGTAAACAATCAAAATATCATCATCAATGTCTGGATTCTGGTCCATGATAAAGATGCAATATATAAAATGTTTGCCACAAGCCTTAACTACAACCACTTTGTAACTGCCACATTCATACTTTGGATGGGGATAAACTGTTATAAAAACAGATAGTGCCTGATCCATTGAAATGGCCCTGCAATGAAGGTTTCTTGAAGCAGAGGATCAACAGCTTGAGACTCACCACAAATGAGATACAAGGATCTTCTAACACACAATTTCATCAAAGACACACGAGGCAACAATTAATTCACTAAATCTCCATAAGGTCCAAATTTGGGTATCAATTCCTATAAAAAAAAGGGAAGAGGCAGATATTTTCTGTGAGGTCCAGGAGGATAATTCAGGTGTAATACAATGTATAGTACTGTACTGCCGAGAGGTATAAACGATTGGAGTGGGGGAGTTTCCAAGAAAATAACTTTTTGTCTTTTATATGCTATGAGTTTCAAGCACCTGTAACATAAAGAGAGTATAAGGTTATTAATATTATGAAGGCAAATAAATTTAGAAGAATACGGGAAAAGAATATGTGACATTAACTTGTAATTTTATCTTATTTAGTTAAATTTACAACAGGGAATTAGAGACTTTAGCTTAACACTGAATGAGAATGTCTTCATGAATATGCAGACAATGGCCTCAGGGAAATCACTGTTTAACTACAATCCACATACTGTACTGTTTTGTACATTATAAGATACAAGACGAAAAACAAAAACACTCCATTTGCCAAACCTCGCCAGTGAAAAACAATAACCAAATGGTGTCCTATAACTTGCCTAAGACTATGCAATGAGTAACTACTGACTGGGCTATGAACTCCTCTGCAGCATTTGCCCAGCAAGGCGCTCTAGGTGCACGTGGCAAACCACCAGATTATTAAGTCTTGTGTGTTTCATAAACATCTCTCTCTCTTTACCAATGTAAACAAGACTGTTTATACCAAGGAGATACTGCTATTGATTCTATATAGAGGTTATAATAACACAGTTACTGCTCAATGGATACCATCATTTGTTAACATTAGTTCACTTAAATGTAACCTTATTGTTCAGCTTTATTCCATCTCTGATGAAAATGCAATGATGTATTTTGCAAATGGAACTGAAAAGAGAGGAGATGAGAGATTGGTTTTCCTTCATACTAAGAATATAAAATAGGAGGAAGAAAAAATATGCAAGACTGATTATAAGGCATAAATGGAAGGTATGGAAGAAAGGTGGGACTGATTGACTGATATGGCATACAGCTCAAGAGTATATGTTGTTTAACAGTGAAATGTGGGATTGTGGAGTGTCATCCCACACATGAGAGTAATATTCCAAATGATGACACATTGCTGCTGATAAGAATAAGAAGCTGAGCAAAAATAAAGCATGAGTGAGCTTTGAAAAGAAATCTTAGTTTGATGTACAGTAGGCCATTTCTCAGGCACAAGGAGACAACAACAACTCTCTCTACACACGATTAGGACGGAGAACGATCTGCTCGACTCTTTTACCACTGTATGACAACGACACAGAGTAATACTGTAGTGTGTTAAAATCACTTGCCTACCATAGTTCAATCTTAAGGCATTTAAAACTCTTGGGAGTGTTCTTGGGTGATTCCTCATATGACTGGGATGCGAGTTTCTTGACCTCAGTGGCAGGCACATCAACAGGTTCTAAAAATTCTTTAAATTATTTGTTTTTTGACAACAAATAAAATTCTCTTCCCAAAACATGCATTAATTTAGTCCCTAATAAGCTTTTTAACCTTTCACTGTTTCACGTTCCCATTTTCTAATTTCTACCACATCTAATCTGATAATTTTTTCCTTATCCTAAAATGTTCTCAAACTTGTCACACCATCAATTGTTACACCTTCACTTTCTTGGTACTTCCTTCTATCATGCCAGCAGCCATTTCCCACTTCAGAAAATTTTTAAATATTCACCTTCATAAGACCATCACCATTACAATCATCAATAGCATTCAACACACACAAAATAAAAACACTAAAACCTCCAGAAATTATAAAAGTAAATTATATTGACCTGATCACAGTCTATAGATTGGTTGTCAAGCATTCTCATTAGGATCTCCAACTTCTTAATGTGGTACTGATGTCTGTCTATATACTCCTTCAGGTCCTCTATCCGGTCAGACTTATCTTTATCCATCTTCTTCTTCTTTTGCGTTGCCAATAAAGACTCAATTTCAGATTCAAATTGGTCCATCTGTAAATGAATAAAATATATATATGAATAAATCAATATTTCAATAACCATAAGCCATACATAAGAAAACTGCACACAATAACACACCCATTATAACTCACTGATTATATGTTTAAATCTCTTATAACTTCCATACTCGCTTTTACTCTTTTTTTCTCCTTTACTTTCTTTATGCTTTCCCCCATTATTTCCCTACTCCACTGCATTTATATTTCCACCAGCACAAGCCACAGGTTACAACTTCAATTCAGTAACACCAAACCATAAAATTAACTAAAACCTGTATGTAAAAACTGAACGTGAAATCTGTCCCGACCTACACAAAGAACCACCTCACGGACGAGCGTACACACACACTCAGAGCTGATGGATGTGTGACAATAAGATCTTCACTCTCACACACACACTCAGATTGTTCAAGATGGAATTACTCAAAAGAGGTGCATAAACTGCAAGACAATTGGCACTCTCGCTGCCCTCCACAACATCTAGACCCTCAACCCAGGCAGGGGTTTCAAGAAGCACTAATGTTAAGAGAGAGCTCCCTAGGGACAACCCCTGGCCCTGGTCCATCCTCCCCACCATAGCTCAAAGACCATCACCAGCAGTCAATGGCAGATCAACATGGAGCAACATAGATGCACTGATATAACAAGAAGTTACCAACACACCCAGTGAACACATGAAAATGAAGAGATCACAGACATGAAAAATGAAATAAAACAACTCAAAACTCAGCATAAAGTTCAACATATGTTTAAAAGCCTCTGCAATACAATACAGAAATTGAACACCAACATAAAGCAATAATGGAAAAAGTGCAAACAAATAGAAGAAATTCAAATAACAGTACCGTACTAGATGTGGAAAATCAACAATCATCAGGAGCTCATGTCCAAACAGATGAAAATAATGATGCTGGGAGCAGTGTTCTTGTGTGCAAAGACAGTGAGGATGAATAAATAAAACATAAAATGGTGATGATGCATATCATGACAAAAGTGCATTCATGTATTCCACTGAAGTACAACCGTTATCTAATACATCCTCCGGAAATGTTTCTAGACACCTAGGGAGCCTCCTGTCTGCCAAATGGACAGGAAGCAAAGAAAAAGGTAATATTCTTAAAGAGTCTTCAACTTCTTCTTAGTGTAGTAAATAATAGCCAGTGTGAATACCAGACAGACATATAAAGAGGTGAAGGTGATGAGATAGAACATCTCATCCCTCAAAAAATGAAACCCAGACCTCTACCACATAGTGACCAAGGACATTGATACTGTGTATCTGTAGGGGTGTCTCACACCTACTGGTAAGTCTCTGCCAGGACTGCCCAACTACAGTATGTCTATTATGATCCTAATTCTATTCACACATGTCTGTGTATAAAAAAAAAATCACGACCACATGTACCTTTCATACTCAAAATGACTACCAACTTTCAATATCATGGATTCACAATAAACCTGAGTTCCTCAATACTCAATGTGCTAAATGCCTATGCTCCCTCAGATCAATTTCACTTTATAGATCTTCCACATACTGAATCCACCATCCTGATTGGTGACCTGAACAATGGACACAAGAAACTGAGTGATCCCATCACTAACACCAATGCCAGGAGACTAATCTTACTACTAAGTACATAATTATGATGATAAAATCACTGGTAATACTGAACCAACACACATCTATGGTGGGGTTCTATACAAGAGTGTTGGATTCAATTTATCAAACACAACTCATAGCTCTGATGTAGTCACCAACCTTATGTTTAATCACACACCAATCCAATCTAGCATACATGAAGCCAATATATTTCCCCTGGTGGTAAACTTAACAGATGTAGACTCACAATCAAGCAAGGACAGGAAAGCCAGTTCATTGACTTCATCTCTGACTGGTAGCTGCAAGGATTACAAGCCTGACAATTACCAATGTCTCCCTGACAATCTTAAAAGCCATAACTTATGCTTTCTTCACTAACAACACCTCTGCTAGAAAAGAGAATGAAGCATGCTCAGCATAATAGAAACAAACAACAGCAGTGTTATGATGAGCCCAAACTGAAAAAAAAAAACTTAAGGCTATAGATGGAAGGGAAGGTAAGGGTTACAAACAAGTTAGAACACCTGAAATGCTAAAAATAAATAAAATAAAATAAAAAATAAAAAAATTCTCCCTTGCTGTTGTCCAGGAAAGCACAGATGAACATTAACAAAATGCATGGAAAACATGTCATCAGCCTGAATGAACATACTCCCCTTAGCAAAACCTGGAAAGACAAACACAGTCAGAAGTAAAAACAATAGGCATGTCTCCCATCCAGACCCACTGCAAAAAGCAAACAAGTTAATAACAAAGTGGGGTCATATCTCTTAGCTATATGTTACCAAGTAGGAACTGAGAATGCTTTGATGAGAAATTTCTTGAAAAAGTAACCTCTTTTACTTCATGCTGGGCAAACAAAATAAGAGTGATGTTCCACACACAATGTACTGAGTAGGAATTGGACACTGCCCTCTTCAGGGATAGATCCTGGTGAGGATGGAATCACCTACAGTATTGTCAGACTACTAGGGCGTGTGCCAGATAATCCATTATTGGCATTAAACAATATGAGTCATGCTATAGGCTAACTATCCACATCATGGATTAACAGTATTATTATACCAATACCAAAGCTGGGACCAGCCTGACGCCTTTCCTCTCGTAACAATGACTAGCTGCCTGTGTAAAACCCTTGAGAGGATGGTTCTAGATAAACTCTTATATAGAATCAGAGAACACATATCCCAGAATGTAAATGGTTTCACTCATAGTAAAAGTGTACATAATTGCATCAATGCAATCTTGAATATGCATGGGGATGAGAGGCACAGACATACAACATTTCTTGACCTAGCTGCATTTGATATTGTTAATTGGTAACTTATATTGTATGAACTCGCCAAAATGGATAAGTAGGTTGTCTGATACATTGGATAAGTGGCTACCTTACTGTTTCAGAGTTACACAAATAAAATCAAAGATATGCAACTTGGCACCCCCAAGGTGGAGTGCTTTGCCCCACTCTGTTCAATGTACCCATGCATGTATTATTAAAGTCAACTCCAGAGAGCCCCAACAATATCACTATCAGTTATGCAGATGACATTCTCCCACATATAAAACTCAATGTGAAATGCAAACTACCTTAAACCAAGTACAGGCAGTCTGTGAGAACCTTGGTTTCACCACCTCCACTGAGAAAACTAAAGTATTCACTTGACAAGCTGATAACCAAAAGTTTAAGATAGATAACAATACCACTGACTATGTCTCCTACTTTTAAATATCTTGGTGTCTCTAACCCATGTAAAGAAGTGTAGCAGCTTGGAACCCAAACTATGATGCTAATAGTAGAATTCTTAAAATAATGTACCAAGGCTCTATACTGTAAGATCTCAGATATTATCACGCACCATCCCTGGTCCTTCGTTTTGGGAAAGGCATTAACAAAGATAAAATGCAAAATAAAGCCCTTAGAATTATCTTAGGCTGTCCTATGAGCACTGAAGTACTCTATACGTGGAAGGAACTCGGAATAGCCAGTGTCAAAGATAGAATAATAGAACTCAACCTCATGATAGCCCTGAAGCTTTTGCATGGAGGTCCAGATATATTGTGTCCATAAAACGGCTAGAATATATGAGTCATGGAGCTGGTGAATCTAAATGGATCCAAATTACAGCTACACATATATGGACTAGACCCCCTGTAAAAAGTTGAGACACAAGAGCACTGACCATCTACTATACTGATGGCTCTCTCAACACTGCCTGCTAGAGGACTGGAAGTGCTGTCATTGTGACTCAACCTAACAGTAATACAATAGAGAAAGGTGTTAGAATCAATAACTAAGCATCCACTCTATAAACTGAACTATGTGCCATACTCACAGCCATAAAACTTGTTGAAGTCACTATCACAGACAGTCTCATCGTCAATGACTCCCTATCCACACTACTTGTGCTTAACACCCTCAATTTAAGGAGTCACGTACAGTATTTGTGTTTCAACCAGACACAAATATGTGTGCTTTGTTGATACAGGTGTTATATAAAATGGCTATGGATCCCTTTTCACATAGGCCTCAGTGAATGACTGAGTTGATGCCTTTACCAAACTCATGTAAAAAAGGAACCCTAAAACTGTAATCAGAAAAGAGCTTGCTGATGAATTTCAAGCAAGCAGACATATGAAAACAGGCTCTCGTCAATCCGTTGTCTACAATTATAAGATGTATCAAGTAAAAATATATATTGGGCAGGTAACAAGATAAGTAGATCACTAGATGATGTAACCATTAGACTAAAGTTAGGATATAAGTGCCTCTGGCAGTCTGCCCCTCAAGCAGATGTGAACAAAACTAAATGTAAAGTGTGTGACCAGACATGTGGTCACACACACACACATACACGATGAACTAGACTACAAGAAAATAGAACCTTTTAGGGGCAGGTCCATGTACACTGTGTGTAAAATGGCACTGCACTCTACCTGTGACAGGAAGAGAGCTGTTATAATAAGATTGTATTCACTTTTTGCACCTAGTAGCCAAATCAATTCCTTTGTCCAGAACTAAAAACAGAATGAAGCTACTTGAATGCCTCTCCTACACCCGTGAATAACGTTAAATGTACAGTGTGCCACCAAACATATGGCCTCACACTAGCAGTATGCCCCTCTACCGGGTGTCAATAAGTCAACTCCCATGTATAGAAAAAAATATATATATTCTGAAGCATTTAATACCACAATACCCTGACCACTAGAATCTGTTCTGTGACATCTACTCTGTAAACATCTTTGCACTACTGTTCATAAGATGAGTATGGAATGCACAATAAACTCGCCGGACTGCAGCAAAACTACCCCCCCCCACACACACACACACGAGCAACATGCTTTCTGGTCATTTAAGCACACTGTTTACTGGATGTCCAGCCTTCCCCCTCACATCATCATCTTGGTCATCTTTTTCTCTCTCCAACCATCAACCTCTGAATTTTACTGTACTGTACTGTACTGTACACTCTTTTTACCAACTTTTCATTTCCAATTACAGTACTGTATCTCAACACTGCATATCAATACCACCGAAGCAGACCCTGATCTTTCTGGTCAACACTTCTACACATCCTTATAATACAGTACTACTACTACTACTACTACTAATAATAATAATAATAATAAAATACTGTACAGGTATTAGAAATAATATTAATAAAAATAAACCTCTGGCTCTACAGTTCTGGAGATCCAACACATCAAAAATATAAAACAAAATCTGCCAAAATTTGATTTCAGCAAATATTTCCTTCAAATACATTCGAGTACTTCAGCTAAAAAGGTCTTCATTCCTCCCAGCTTCTGAAACTTGGCCAAATGACAAAAAATATTTCCCCAAAATTAAATAAAGTCACCACTTCTTTACTTACGGGTACAATCGCACATAAGAAGCTATGGTTTATGAAAAATTATAAGAAAAAAAAAAGAAAAAAGTCCCACGCTTTGGTTTACGAAGAAATTCCCCAAAGTTACGAGAAAAAAATAATTATTCGAGTAAATAAAAACAGTTCTACTTATGGCAAAAACGTTGGGGAAGATGATGAGGATTAATGAGACAATGAATGATGGGTGACAGGAACCACCCAGAACACCCCACTACTAGAGCCTAATGTTGGTCCACAAGAACACAGTGAAAGTGTCTGGAGCAGTGATTTTCTTCAGTACTGTAAGAAAGGACATTAAAGTCAGGGAGCTAACAAGAGAGACTACAAGAGACCGTGCTGCATGAAGAGCTTCCATCAGGTTACCGTGGCTAACATACGCAAGCGTGGAAAATGGCCGTAAAACGGTGATGATGATGATGATGACTTGTGTAACCGGGGGAGATCCATCCAGGTAGTGCCTCAAGAAAAGTCTCAAAGACTAAACACAAGTGGAAGTAAAACATAAATACGATACAAGCACAACAAAAGGACCATAAAGGGAAGAGTTTAGGGTGCTACTATACTATGCAGTCTACGAAGATATCTTTAACCTAACCTTACATAACTTAACCTTACCTTATGTAACCTTACCTTAGGTAGCCTAACCTTACCTTACGTAATATACCTAACCTAACCTTACATAACTTAACCTTACCTTAGGAAGCCTAACCTTACCTTGCATAATATACCTAACCTAACCTTACCTTACTTTACCTAACCTAACCTAAATATATTGTAGACCACATGCTATAGTAGCACAGAGTTGAGTTTACCCTGCTGTGAATGGCAGTTAACATTTTCTTTAAGTGCCAGTCTGAACCATTTTCTTTTGGTGTTTGGTATGTACAGGTATCATACACATACACAGTATTTTATACTTTGTTTGCATGTTCTAGGACTATGTATTTTTCTAATCATTATATATTACTTGGGTAATATAATTATTACAAAAGTTGCCTTAGCCATTCATACTGTTCACTTTGTTTTCAGTATCGTCCAGTTTCTCATAAGTACCTTGTATAAAATCAATACTGTACAGTATTGAACTGCATGTATTTCACTAATTGTTTATAATTGGCTTATAATCATTGCATACAGTACAAAAAAATTTTAATTAAAAATGTTTTGTAACACTTCATTTTAATGTTTATTTTTCCTCCATAAGAATATCTCCCCCCAGCTTTTATAATGGGAGACTATGGGAAAATGTACCACCCTGTATAGCACTTCAATTTACAAAATATCAATGAACAGAACCCATTCATAAACCAGGATATGCCTGTATACACTTGTCAGGAAATCAGACAAGAAGCTTGTGCATATAAAGTTGATAACAGGGGAAGAAAGTACCTTGGAGCACAGACAGCTAGTGTAGAGATTTTGCTTCAAGTTTAATATATATAAAAAAAACGACAATAGATCAGCTGATGAAAAAGTAAAGTTCTCGCACCATCTACTAGCTCTGACCAACCACTAGACACTTCACTCATGAAATCCCAGATAAACAAAACAAAATCCATCTTTAGTACTATTGGTTCATCAATCACACCTAAGTCACCTGCAGTCCAAGAAGTTGCTGTTTGTACTCAAGGTAAATCATATGAAAGAATTTTTTTGAAATGATGATATAAGTGTTGAGATGAGAAAAGGTGGTGTCTTAAAGGAGCTGTTCACAGTATTTTATCCTCTTTGCCTCTGGTTGGCTCCCTAACAAGTCAGGCTTTTTATGTAAATACTGTATATTTAATGTTTAATGTCTTAGAGAATAATTCAATATTTTCAATACAGTATAGCATATGTACGGTGTATTTCATTAATACTGTATGGTCTTAACCCTCGAAGGGAGTGGACATCATAAATTATGGTGTCTGAGAGGAAAACATGTAAATGACAGTGGACATCACAGTCATGATGTTTAGGTTTTGGCGCCATTGTTTGGCTGTGTTGTTGTCTGATTACTATGATGATGCTGCGGCTCTCTTAAGAGATGCAAAAACATGTACTCCCAGTTCAACTTGTGATTTGTCCAAGAAATTATTATTTCTTGTATTTGTTGACTAAATGTGAATTACCGGGGGTAGTAGAAAAAAAGATTCAGCTTTCTAATGGTACAAAAATAATTTAAATATGTTAATGTTAATTAGGGTGCATTCTACATGCATTTGAATAAGATTATCTTCGGCGACTTGCTCAGTTTTCTATGTAGCGAAATATACCCCTACCCTTGGAGGACAGCGTAAGTAAATATACCAGCCCTATAAGAGTTAAAAGTTGAATATTAAACTAAGACAAATGATTCACTGATGAATACTGTACCTGACTGGCTACTATACAGCAGATCACACATGGTTCACAACAGCCAGAGTACTATTCTTCCATTAGTTACTTTTAGTCTGAACAATTACAGTCCAGGAGGCAGTTGTTCAGACACAAAGCAAGTTATAGTGTTACTTTGTTAAAATTGTTTCAATATATTGTAATAGAATTACAGTAGTGTAGAAGTGAGAAAACTGGTCTTTTAAGAGTTTTGTGGTGTATGTTTGAGTTTGTGACTCCCTACCCTGTATTTCCCACTGGAATACAGTACATTAAGTGATTTAACATGGTTCAATTTTAAAAATAATTTCTTGGTCCCACTCTCGTGATAAATTGGAGATCTACTGTAATTTCATTTGATTACTTTCCTGGTGTTCCAGATACAAGTACAAGCAGTCCCTGATTTACAGATTTGCTTTATAAATTCTGAAATTACAGTATACAGTAGTATAAAAAAAAAATGCCATTTGGATTTACAGAAGAGTATAGTACTTGCAAAAATTCCTGTTATTTTATTTTGTAATTTTTTTCACAGCACAAAAAGATGCAGCGGTGCACGGGCATCTCCAGGCTTCCCAGTTTATAAAGAAATTAAACAAAAATAAGCACACAGTACTGTACAGTACTATATTGGGTGATTAACTGAGTAAAAAATAAAATCATGTAGTGATTCGGTTTACAGAAACATTATGTGAAGCAGTGGATTCAAGATATTTCCACTGTGGGACCGCTGATGTGTTTAATATTCCAGAGTTTAATCTGAAGTCAATAGATATTAAATGGATAAGTTTAGTATTTCTTCCTCACATAAAACCTCACTGAAAGTAAAATCCAGTGAAAGCAAAACATCTCAAATATGTACAATACTGTACAGTCCAGTGCTGTACTGTACTGTATATGTCAAGAGCAATAGACTTAGTGTTGGTACTGTATGTCACTGCAAAATAAAAGTTCTATTTCTTGGCTAGACCTCACAGTCTCACACTGCATCAAAACCAGAGGTATATACAGTACAGTACTACAGTTTCTCATTAATTTCCGTGTCCTCCACTGTATTTCACTTATGTTTATCATTGGCTTATAATCATTGCGTACACCAAAATTGTTCATTAAAACATATTTTGTAGCATTTCATTATATTTTGGTGATTTTTCTTTTCAAAGCAATGTACAATATCTCGGCTTTTATGATGGTATTTTTTGGGGAACGTGCGATCCATTTTTATTTAAAAGAAAAATCCTTTGAAAGAATTAAAAGAATTATCAGGTCCTGATCCATACCACCTGATAGGGGAGGACACACGCACAACTTATCCAAAAAATTTAACAACTGATCTTTATGGTATACTTGTGCCCATTACTGTCCATCATTACCAGTTGTCCCTTAATAACGTACAATACTGTACAGCACTATACAGTACTTTACTGTATACAGTACACTATTAATATTCATAGTAAGAGAAAATTTTGTGAATTTGTCAGGGCTTCCAGATAATAAAAAAAAAAAAAATCAAAATTTTAAATGCAGTAACGAACTCACCTGTATATTTAAGGTATCTATCGAGGAACTAAGCCAATTGTTGACTTCTTCTCTTTCCCGTTGCGCTGGGTCCTTGTTTTGTGCTGCCCCTAGCCCCTCCTTACTGTATGCTTTGGTCTTCGTTTCTCTTTCTACCACCTTAAATCTCTCCATTTGCTGTGGAAAAAGGGAGAGGAGTTAATGTAGATTATTCCTACAACAATACATTCTGATCTAGATATGTTAAAAAAAATAAACGAGTCAAATCACCTGAACTACAGTTATGTAATTTATAAAAATTCATGGTGACAGTAGCTAACTCTTCCTCCAGTGTATGCCTTAATATATGACTAATTTATTAAAATGAACTAAATTATATGGTTAAGGATCACAAGAAATAGCGTAATGTATTAAGGACTGTATAGGGGGTCCCCTCCATACATCATCATGCTATACGTCATTTCGGATTGACGTCACCGACTAATTGACTTGGAATAAACAACGCAGGAACTTGAACCTCCTTTGCTGCACCTCCATCTTGCATCGTATACCAGCATCCTTCTTGACGACTCTCGGTTCCATTGTATTTTATCTTACTGTGAGTAGTGGTTGAGCTTCACACTCAGCATCAACTATACAGGGTATCTAGATTTATCCTTGCAATAATTCAATAATGGGTGACAGGCACAATGCATATGTAGGTGGTTAAGGGAAGAAAAAGTATATGGGTATTACACTGGATATTAAGTTGACAATTATAAAGCACAGTTAAGGTGAACTCATTCACACCTCAAGGTAAGATAAAAAAAATTGTAGGTTCGAGTGCAGTTAGGTTAACGTTAAATCTATTTCAAATGACTTAAAATTAACAGACTATTTTTTAACACGGAAATGCTTTTTTGTTTAAGTCATTACTTAATAATATCATAAATACTTTTCTATTCTGTAAGTAGAAAACAACTTAATAATCAGGTCCCTATTTGTACCTTATTACATCATTTTGCTTTCCTGGTGTACTGTATATTGGGGACCCTTTGTACTGAACTCTTGTGCATCATTTATTGTTTTCATACCTGTACAGTACAGCTACTTTATCTTTGTCTCCTTTAAACTGAAATTTTGTTTCGAATGTTGACGCTTAGTTTGGGTTATGCTAAGCTAAGATAAACAGCATAAGTAAACAAATACCCTATACTGTAAATGCATCAAGCGATAAATGACTAAAGGATTTTATTATCTTTTCACAGGTGCAGCTACATCAGGTGTCTTAATGAACAAATCTATGTAAAATAAAGCAAAACTTAGGTCCGGAGTTCAAGCGACCAATGGTGCAGTATACAGGAAAAAGTAGAAGAAGGAAAAGAAGACAAGGAGGAGAAGGAAGACAGTAAGGACAAGAAATATACAGCAAGAAGAAAACAAATCTGGACAAGTTGTGTACAAGCACTGGTTACCAATTTGTAGTGTACAGCACAGTTTAGCACCAGCAACAGTGTGTTCTTCAGCTTTGTTCTTTAAGCGTTGTCACAAAGATTTTTGTTAATTTTATCTGCAATATCTGTTGTTATATTATCATCTTTATGCCAAGTTAGCTTTAATCCCTTTACTACAGAGATGCCAATTTTAATATTTTATTTGTCTAATGCCAGATGATTTTATTTAGCACAGAGAGACCCTTGTACAAAAGGTATTAAGAAGTGCAAGAACAGACCTGCATTTAAGCTATTTTGAATTTTTATATACTGTACAGGCAAACCCCAATTCATATGGATTTGACTCACAAAATTCAGTAAAAAAAAAATATAATAATAATAATAATAATAATAATTTGTTACATGCTTAAATGTATGGGCAAAAACCTCAAAATAAAAATAATAAATAAATAAAATAATTAGTTAGACAGCTGAAATAGGTCACATCCTGGGGAAGGATCCAATGCCACAACATCTGAGTGACACCACCCAATGTGGGTATAAACCCAAAGTAAATGTTAAAATGAAAGTATGCTAAAAGAATGCAGTTCTTTTTTACTAACAGTTTGCTTACTTATTCCACCAACTTATTTCATTATTCTCTAAAAACAATGTTATTAAGTTAACAAATAAGCTTTCAGTCTCCTACAATCACCAAATAACTTACTCCCCACTCACGCGAAGACAGGTGACTCCACATTTAGGCTACTCTCGTAATATGTGGAAAATTTAATACTGTGTTGAAAAATAGTCTATTCAAGTGCAGTTCAGTATTCTTAAGCATCATATGGTAATTACGGTACTAATACTGTGTATACAATAAAGATGTAGATTTGTAAAAGTGTGGAATTTGGATGTGAAGAAATATTTGGAGGAGTGAAGAATGCCAGCAACACACGAAGAGTTGTGTGTCTGATGAGACAAGTCAGACGCCTAGCCTGCTGGCTAGTGGGAGGGTGGGAATGGCCAAGCAGGAGTGCTGGCTGGTGTATGTACTGTACCATTTTGTTGGTTGAACCATTCATGTAGCACTTTCTCTAGACAGACACTTTGTTCATAGGCTGTCCTTGGTCCAGTCTTTACAAAATTTACACTTTTTTCTCTACACTTTGCACTTTATATTTCCTTTTAACTTTGTTAAGCTCAGTTCTTTCACTTTTGTGTTGTTTGAGGTTAGTGTGAAAGAAAATAAAATCAATATTGAGCAAAGAATACAGAGCACACCTTGCAGAAGCCAAGGTTCCTTGGAGCATCGGTCACAGCTGTGACCACAGTGTCTTGCCCCATGTAAACAAAGGATGATCATCAGGGGTCAAGACAGGTTCTTTCTTTATAGAGAACATGTCTCTAATTATATGATGGGAATCATACGAAAAATATACACTGTTTTATGAAATACTGTATCTACTGTATTCAAGCATTTTCAGGAACTTAACCCTCTCATAAATTGGGGTCTGCATGCATATTGTACAGTATTTTATTAAACAGTGATGGGCAACTTTTATAGCGACAGAAATTCACAAATAAAATAAAATATGAAAACACAGAAGATACCAATGTTTAAAAAAAACATGACATGTCAAGTAGGTACTGTACATACCTGTACTGTACAGGCATCCCTCATTTACCATTAATTCACTCAGCAATAATTCGTTTAACGATTAAAAAATTTTGACACCCTTTGTCTCTTAATGTTAAATCAAAATTCGGTTTAGCAATACAGTAACTTGACTCACTGGGAAGGGAAAAAAGTGAGGATGTGGTGGCATGTGAGATGGCATGTTGCCATTGTTACTTGCAATGAAACAATGAAACACACACACACACACACACACACACACATATTTACAATACAGGTAAAGGAAATTACTGTCTCTAGAACAAATGGCTCCCTGTCCCAACTGCAAAAATGCTGGCAACTTTAAAACTACCCACAGACATTCTTGGGTACACCCAGAGCGTCATCCGCGAATAATAGAGGATCGCAAAATAAAAATCCGCAAATTTGGGGAGCCCCCTGTACTGCATTAATGATGTTGGCATAATGTATAAAACTGTCCGCTTTGTTAAACAAAGTGTACAGTAAGAGATTAGAAAGAAACTTTGTTTCTAATCTCACCCAGTTACTCATATGTATAAATTGTTACTGTGGTATCTTAAGACATAATGGGGATTTGTTGTTATTGTTGCAATGTACAGTACCTGCTTATATAATGGGTGTCTGTAGAGAAATGTGCTTCAATTTACAAAATACAGGTACAGTCAACCTTCGCTTTAAGCGGTCCCACTTTACGCGTTCCCACGTTTACGAGGTACCCTGCCGAACACGGAATGCTCACTTTCCGCGGTGTGTGTACCCTTTTACGCGGAGAGCGGCGCGAGCAGGGTGCGCACAAGGTCGCCCAGTCATCAAAACATTACCGAGTTCTTCACCCGCCACCCACCACAGCCGGCCCAAGTCAGTGATAGTGATAATGATAGTGAGGATATGGACTTACATGGACTTTGAGGGGTTTGACAAAGAGGCCCTGCAAGCCTCTGTGGTGGATAGTGATACAATTGATACAAGTGATACAGGTGAGGGCCAATAATCTGCCCTCTGCCTCGGAACCAACCCCCCATCCCCGTGTGCCCAGCCATCTTTTCTACTTATGTAAGTGTTAAAAAACCTAATATTATTGATATTTCTCTTAATTATTAATTGTGTGTGCATACCATCATAAAATTAAGAAGTTATTTTTACTATAACGTAGGTATTGTGTCTGAAAAAGTGGAGTTTGGGGGTCGGCCTGGTCTCTATTTCAATTAATCCCATATGTTATGTTGTTCACTTTACGAGTTTCTCACTTTACGCGGGCCGCCGTGGGTTCAATTGACCGCGTAAAGTGAGGGTTCACTGTACAGTACTGATTTACCAATTTTTTTTTCAGGGATGTAACAATAATATGCCACACTTATGGTTACAATGATTATTATATTTTTTTATGTAATCAATTAAAAATCATGATCACATGACATTAGTACTGTACAGGTACAGTATAATTACAATTACTGTACGTACAATTATGATTATTTCTATAAAAATCCAATGTAATCCAACACACACAGTACTCCAACATACAGTTCTCAAAACAAACTCAGTATTAAATCATACACAGTACTCCATCACATGCAGTACAGTACTCAAATACAAACACAGTACTGTACTCCAACACACATAGTACTCCAATATACAGGGTATTTCACAAATAAATAAAATACAGTTTACAGTATATCATATACATTACAGTACAGTGATCCCTCGGTTAACGAGCGCCTCGGTCAACAAAATTTCGGTTAACGAATTACCTTCCATAAGATTCTTCACTTCAGTTAACGAGCAAACCCTCGGTTAACGAATTCCTTACGAATTTTTCCCAACATGTTTTCGCCTGCATTTGGCTGCCCACCAGCTGTAGTATTAGTCCGCAAATACAGTAATCGGTTTTAGGGCTTAAATTCCTTACCATATTCGTAAATATCAAGAAGGTTGTACTATTCAATAATTTTAAAAGTTTTATATTAATTGTTTTAGTCATTTTAACAATTATTGAACATAATTGAAGTACAGAAAGCTAGTTTTTTGCGCGCCAAACAGCCACAACACACCGAGCTTGGCGTCAGTTTGTTTACCAGCTCAGAAGAAGGAACATCATGTTTGAGACT